CTATCCCTCTTGAACTGGGGAGCCCAGAACTGGACGCAGTACTCTAGTTGTGGCCTCACCAGTGCAGAGCAGAGGGGGAGAATGACCTCCCTTGACCTGCTGGCTACTTACGTGATGGACTCGGTCTGGGAGAGAAAAGTGAAACGGGTTTAAGTGTCATAAAAGTGACGGTGGGGAGAATGACTTCCCTTGACCTGCTGGCTACCTACGTGATGGACTCGATCTGGGAGAGAAAAGTGAAACAGGTTTAAGTGTTGTAAAAGTGATGGGAAAAAAAGGACTAATTCATCAGACTTTATGTAATTTTCATTTTCATTTGGAAATGTTAAATATCTTGATACTGTGACCATTAAAGCAGCAGAGGGGTGACTGCCAGTGTCAAGGTAAAATATTTGAAATGTTGTTTGGGGAACGGCTTAGTTCAGTCTCAAATGTGGGGTGGCATTTGTTAATTAGGAAGGCAAATGTAGTCTTTTGAAGGAAAACACATTTCCAAGCAGTGGAAACATCCAGAGAGAGGAGAAGAGCCTGCATATACTTTGATTAACAGATTTTGTTAAAAGTTGACATTAAATTTCCTACATCAGATCAGAACCGAGGTCTCATTAAATTTAGTATCTCTGTTAGCTGACGCCTCCCTCGGGTCAGCTTGTTCTCTAAAGCAGATTTGACTAATTTTTCCTTTTGGTGAGTGTTTTCCGCTCAACAGCGGGGGATTGGTGGCGAGTTGCTGGGTATGAGCAGATGTTCAGCCTTCATGGTTCCTCTCAGCTGTGCAGAACCTAACGACATCTTCGAGACACTTGTTTTATTTTCCCAACCTGGTGACCTGCAACTATAATTCCCGTTGGCGTAGGCAGAAGGAATTAAGGAGCATTTGTTTCTCTGTAAAAACTGGGGTTATTTCAACACTCCATGGATATCAGCTGTTCCCTGTTGCTACCTGGAACAGCCAGGTCGTGGAATAACTTCTGAGGTTAGAAGTTACACTTATATGGGGCTCTGCTTAGTGTGGAAGGACGCTAAAACAAAGCACTCTGAGGAAAATGGAGTGGTTTTCCATATGGAAGCTGCATCAGTTTGTGCTTTGTTGCCCAGGCTTCCCATTCTGTCATTGAACCAAGCATGAGCTCCTTGCCAACCTCAGAAGCTCATCATGTGGAAGTACTGAAAGAGATTTAAGACCTCAGATCCATTTAGAGACAGGCTGCCATTATAGTCCTCCATTTCCCTAGGCTACAAAAGAGGGATTTTAAGCATATAGCCATGGTGGGAGTAGGGGAAGCTTAATTTATATGTTCCAGACTTCAGTTGGCAGCATCTTTATTAATGAAAAGGCTCTCTTGCCTCTTTGAGATGATTGCCAAAGGTCAAAGGTGAGGTGGGCGATGCCTAATTTGGTCTCTAGACAAGCAGATTCCCTGAAGAACTATCAAATTATAGACTTGTAGGCAGAGGTGGCTTCAGCTAAAAGCAGATAGATTGGGTCCATTGCAGAGCAGCTAATATTTCATATTTGGTACCTGCACACACAATTGCAGTCAATTTAAGTATTGAGTTTAACATCTGAGTTATCTACATGACAACAGCTTCTGCCACAGCTTTCTGGTCTAAGGATGTCAACATGAAAGAATTCTTCTAATTTACTGAAATCGCCGTAATTCTCTTGGGTAGATAAGGCTTGAAATTAAGATTGATCAGATACCTTTTTAGAGGGAATGAATACTAATATCTTTCCTGCCTTGTATTTTAAGTAGCTGACAAGCCAGCTATTTATGGGAGCGCTGTGGTTTCTGAGCACCTTGCTGATAAGCGTTCTTATCCTCTGGCACCTTTTGGGGCAAAAGCAGTGTGAATACAGTTTTTGACAGTAATGGTGTGCTGTAAGGAATTCTGAATGAGTTTTGTTGTTGTTTGGGCTGTTTGCTGTGACAGCCTGTACTTGCTGTCGGTGCTGAGGCTTCTGGTCTTCTCCTGGAGACACGCCAAAGGAGATCTTGTGGTGCAGCAGTAGGAGGAGAAAGCCATGTAGGCTGGGAGGTCCTGCTGCTCTCAACGTAAACAGGATTTGTTTGGTTTTCTCCCTTTGATAATACCTGCCCCGCTGGGGTGGTGTTGCTCTTCTGCCATGTGGGAGCAGCGAAGCTGCTGCTCCAACCCCCTCCTCCAAAAGCTGGACTCCAGTCTCTCTAAACGGGGCCACCAGTTTTGTGGCAAAGGCAACAGCCTTCCCCTGCATGCAGAGCAAAGGCTGCTGGGCAATCTCACAGAATCTTCCAGGTTGGAAGGGACCTTAAAGATCATCTTGTCCAACCGTCAACCTCACTGACAAAAATAGACACCCACACAACAAACAAGGAGCATCATCACTAAACCAGACCTCCCAGCACTACATCAACCCGGCTTTTGAACACCTCCAGGGATGGGGCCTCAACCACCTCCCTGGGCAGCCCATTCCAATGGCTGAGAACCCTTTCTGGGAAAAAATTTTTCCTAATATCCAGCCTGAACCTCCCCTGGCGTAACTTGAGGCCATTTCCTCTTGTCCTGTCGCCTGTGACTTGAGAAAAGAGACACGTGCTCAAACTGTTGCTATATCCACCTAAACAAACTGTGCTGTGCGTTAAAATGAGGGCTTCCACAGCTTATAAAAGTAAAAGGTGTCACCCAGCCAGCTTGCCCTGTCTCCCCAGCCCTTGTGTGAACACAAATGACCTTCAGTCTGGTCAGAGAAGTTCTAATAGCCAAGGAGAAGAAAGAAAAACCACCTAAATATTGTATCATGCCCTGAGGTGGGCTGTTCTGGAGGTGCAGGGGTGTGAATGGGCACTCACCACCAGCTCCTCAGCCCTACAGAAGCCTCTGGCCAGCAGCACATCTCCAGCTAAGCTGCCTCTGGGGTCTCCAGCCTTTGGGATCTCCATCTTCAGTGATCACAGTATGGTCTCTCTTTCCTGGGGGAATATAATGCCTTTCGCCAGTTTGACCAAAAAGGATAATAGTAAGAAAATGTTAAATTTTTAAATTGTGGCCTTGAGCAACCTGCTCTAGTGGGAGGTGTCCCTGCCCACGGCAGGGGGGTTTGAACTAGATGATCTTTGAGGTCCCTTCCAACCCAAACCATTCTATGATTGATTCTATGATTCTAAAGAAAACCCAAACAAAACCAAATATAACGACCCTTGTGGCAAGGAAACCCTAAAATCTATGTAGTTCTTATTTTCCTTGGTATAGTCCAATCTGCCGGATTGGGAACTGCTCAGAATGGGAATCCATGGCAATCACTTTGGGCTAGATTCTTGAATCTCGTTTGCCAAGTCCTTTTGGGTTTTGGAAGTTTTATGTCTTGACTCATTCGGAGGATTGCTGATGGAGCTCAGTCTTTAAAATTGATTTCCTGCTGTTGTCAACTGTTAAAATAAATCGATCCAAGCAGCCGTTTCACAAGTCAAGGAGCCGAGTTGTGTGCAGAGGTGTCTGTCCTGGAGAAAGGATGAAACTCAGTTATCTTAAAATATTTACCTTTAAAAAACTGTAATATTGCTCAGCAAAGAGCTGAGTAGCTGATTAGGTATGTCCTGGAGTTATTGGAGAATTGGGGTTTTACACAGATCTGTCTCAGGGAGGTTTTTTTTTCCTAATCTGTTGGGGAATAATTCCTCTCTTGCACTTTTCTCTGAAGCACCCTGTTCTGATTGCTGTTGGCAACAGGGTGTGTGTGGACACATCCTGAGTCTGTATCTATTTGATTTTTGTTTTCCCTTCAGCTCTTTATTTTTTTGCCCAGGTACCACTGGGTGCTTTGTGTGACCCTCCAGCAGCTTTCTGTCGGCACCGTTTAGTGGCACCCCTTGGGGTGTATGTGGACACATCCTGAGTCTGTATCTATTTGATTTTTGTTTTCCCTTCAGCTCTTTATTTTTTTGCCCAGGTACCACTGGGTGCTTTGTGTGACCCTCCAGCAGCTTTCTGTCGGTGCCGTTTAGCGGCACCCCTCCATTCTTGCCTGGAGAAGGGTCTTTCACAACAAGAAATAAAACAGGGAACATGTGCTGCTGCTGCTCATTTCTCTTACTTCAGGCACAAAGAGGAGATTTGTAACTAAGTAGTTTTTTTTTTTTTTTTTATAGAAGAAGGGTGAGCTGATATGAAAGCAAAATAAAACAGGAATAACTTCGCAGTTTTCCTAATGGGGTTTGCTTTGTCTTCGTGTAGGTCAACAATCAGGAGGACAGTGTGTCTCTAGACAGTTATTTAAGCAATAACAATAAATTATTTGTTGTTGTTCTTACCATTCATTCATCACTTTCTCCAATAATAGTCCTTATGAAACGCTTTACTTCTCAATGGTTGTTTCGGTCTAGAGATGTTTGGAGGGAAACTAGAATTAAAAGTCCATAAAGATACGTTAATTTTTTATATTTTTTTTTCCCCAAAAGCACTTTTTGCATTTTTAAAGCTGAATCCCGAAAGGGAAATATCCATAGTTGGTGAATCATGTTTTTTGCTGTGTCTTCCAAATCTTAGAGTTGCTGAGGTTTTATCCTTCTTCACCTCCTTTTATTTGTAGACAGTAAAGAACACTTTTCTACATTTCAGATCCCGGTATCTTGGCTTTGAATAAACTAGTGCTGCAAAGAAAAAAAAAAATCCAATTCTTGCTAAAAAGAAAAAAATAAAACCTGTTTTATCGCTTCCTGTTCTTTGTGTTTATCCTGTGACTTTCACCAGCTGAGGGCCTTGACTTCAGTTGGAAATGTGTCCTGACAATAAAATTTAGCATGTTTGAGTTTAATAAAAGGTACTAAGCGGAAGTCATGCCATAAGTTTTCTACATCTCAAGCTTAATTTTAGCCACGTTAAATGCATTTGATCTTAAAATTGTGGATGGATAAAAGGCCAATTAATGCTGGGTTCTCATTAAAGTGTTTCTGAAAGCCAAGTGCTGTTAACACCCTGCCTATAAATGCACCCTCAAGGTCATGTGTTTGTAAGTCATGTTTTGTCTCTTACAGCTGTTTTTTTTGTGATGCTTTTTTATTATCGAAGCTGATCTCTGCGGTGTTGTTTCCTTTCTTTTCTAGAATCACTCTGATGGTTTCATGCTTTCATGTCATGCCTAGGTCTCTGCTTATGCTTCTTTGAGTTCCAGTCTCCACAATGTGACGCCACTTATGGTTTGTTTTTACAGGAACACGTGATTGTTGGCTCATTGATTATTTGAGGGGAGGAAAAATAAATAAATAAAAACCACGTCCAAATCCACTGTGTACTATCAGCTTGCTAAATAGCAAAACAGGCAAGCCTTAAATGAGCAAAGCTGTAATCAAGGGTAGATTTACCAAAATGCACGATGATTGGAATTGTTGTGCAGCTGTATGGGAGAAAACAAGATTTAGAAGTAAACACAGCTCGAACATCAAAAAAATCACCTTGTGCTTAGCAATGTGAGAAGAGCCAGTTATTATTGGTTTGATGTACAGTCTGTTTTTTTTCCTCTTCAGTTCCACAGAGTAACGAGAAGCTTCAGGAAAGTCCGTGCATTTTTGCGTTAACACCAAGACAAGTGGAGTTGATCAGAAATTCCAAGTACGTCTCTTTGTGTATTAACAGTTGAAGAAAATGTAGCTGTAGAATTCCTCTGTGTTCCCTCTCTGTGGAAGCTTTTGTTCTCTGCAAGGAAACGCAGTTTGTTTGAGGCCATAAGCAGACAGGCTACTTCTTATGTAAAGCAAATAGCTTTGGGGGAGGTGGGAGGTACAATTTTACACATCTAAGTCCCTAAGTTTCACTTTTGCTTCTCTAATCTTGCCTTTGAGTAGTACCTTTGGGCAGGAGAAGCCACATGAAATTGTTGATGACCTAAATTCTCCGTTGAGCTTGTGCTGTGAATATTTGCACTTTTTTTTTTTTTTCTCCTTTGCATCAAAAGTTCAATAGCTAAACATGTAATGCTGTTTGCATCTGAAAGAAAGCTTCCTTGCTGGAAAGGATGCTATAGTAACTGCCTAAGAAAACATCTTGCACCGATTAGGATTTACCCTGACCTCTGTCTTGATGCAACTTTTGATTCACACAATGAAACGCTCGGGTGATGTCAGTGCAGGCAGGAAGGCTTCCTCTTTCCTTGACCTGCTCCCTTGGGCCTTGCTGCTCTGAAAGGACAATGATGCAAAAGAGGCCCTCCAAAACTAAGCGTAAAACCTTTAAATATTTCTCTTCACGGTGTAAAACCGTACTGTTAGCGTAGAGTTGGAGAAAAAGGATATTTCTGGAATAGCCAATGCTTGATTACTGTTGTGATCCCAGTAGGTCAACAGAAGCAGGGCAGGGGAACCTGTCTGAAGACTTAACAGAGAGGAAATGATAGACCACAGAAGTCTTTAAGGGTGATAAAAGACTACACGTGGCTGTAGCTGATTCTTGATGCTCTTTTCTCCACATATTCAGATTTGGGAGAAAATTTGCCCTGTCAATAACACACTGTAAATATTTCATAGCAGGGGTTTCAGTGAAGGTCTAGAATGGGCACTCACAGCAGGTCCAGCTTCTTCCACTGCACTTAACAGAGAGGAAATGATAGACCACAGAAGTCTTTAAGGGTGATAAAAGACTACACGTGGCTGTAGCTGATTCTTGATGCTCTTTTCTCCACATATTCAGATTTGGGAGAAAATTTGCCCTGTCAATAACACACTGTAAATATTTCATAGCAGGGGTTTCAGTGAAGGTCTAGAATGGGCACTCACAGCAGGTCCAGCTTCTTCCTCTGCCTGTGGGTGCTACCCAGGTGTGTCCCCCCCATCTCAAACTGCCACATCAGCTCCTGTCTGTCAGCTGAACTGAGGATCCATTCCTTCCATCCGCAAAATCAAACCATTTATACTAAAACACTGAATTGCAACATGAAATGCTTTCAGAGGCAAATCCAGACTAATTTTGGGGTATTACCTGGTGCATCCTGTGCAGAAATTAGAGCATGTTTTGCACCGCTTTACCTGGTGCATCCTGTGCAGAAATTAGAGTATGTTTTGCACTGAGTATAAAGACTCCTAATAAAATACCCTTGTTGTGAGATCTGTTGCTTTCCTGATATCAGTTGAAATCCTGTTACGAATAGCACTCCTGCAGTTGGCAATATTAACAGTTGTTCTGCTGGTGCCATAATACTTGATTCCTTGGTTTGCATGAACAGCTTTTGCTGAATAATTGAACAAAGAGAGTCTTGAAAGAAGACTGCCAGGTAGACCTGACCTTAAAACCTAGTTTTTGAAGTGCTTACAAATCAGGAAAAGGATGCCAGGCAAATTGATAGCTTTCACCCCAACACCCTTCTAGATTTGAAAACCCAGAGAAAGGCTGTAGGATGGTGCATTAGGGGAGAAAAAAAATCAAAAACACAGGACCACCAATATTTGCAGGGGGAGTTGTACAATTGAAATAAAATTCTGTAAAGTAATTCTTTAAAGATCTATAAAACAAGAATTAAAATTCTTGAGTCTGGCAAAAGTGACAGCTGATTTTTGTTCTTCTGGGGGTTTTTTTGGGTTGTGAGGATTTGGGTTTTGGGGATGGTGGTGGTTGTTGTTTTTTACATAATTAATCTGAAGTTTCTCTTTCTTCTTTCATTTACTAGGGAGTTGCAACCTGGTGTGAAATCGGTTCAGGTTGTGCTAAGGTATGTTTGGGCATGGGCTTGACTTAATATCAGGTGCAGAACAAGGGAGGAGGGAATATACTACTAAATATATTAATTTTCAGAGTGGTTTTCAGAGCTACAGAGATAACTCAGAGTCAATTTTTTGTTCACATGCCTCATGCAAGCAGCTTAAACTCTACTTTCTAACCTCTCCCTACACGTACTGCTTGATTAGTGCTGCAGTAGGAAAATGTGTTGGATTTTGCTGGCCAGGTACGGAGCCTGCATCCAATCTGGAAATTCTGGGTGGAATTGGCTTGGCTTTGGCCAGAGGAGGGAGCACGGGTTGGTGTGGTGGTGGTTGGTTTCTCATTGCTGGTGATGCACGGAGAGCTTTGAGCATGCAAATGTCATGGAGATACTGAGATAAATTTCATTTCTTTACAGAATCTGTTACACAGACACTAGTTCTCCTCAGGAGGATCAGTACCCTCCGAACATCGCGGTGAAAGTGAATCATAATTACTGCTCCGTGCCGGTAAGTCGGCTCAGCCGGGAGGTGTGACATTGCAACTTGTGTAATTTAGAAGAAAATTATTTTCCTGATGAATGCAGACAAGAAGCCAGGGTATAAAAGTGCACTGCTTAGTTTTAAGCTAATTTTCTAAAGGATTAGTTGTGTTGGTAATAAACCGTTCTTGCGAAAAGACTTTGCACTTGGTCTGACTGTTCACCTCCCTTCTACTCCCCTCCTTGAAAACTGGGGGTGAGTAGAATTTAGCACAGCTGATGAGTAGATGTACCTACTTCACTGAATTTCACTGAATTTTTAGAGTTGGAAGGGACCATAGAGATCATCTAGTCCAACTCCCCTGCTAGAGCAGGACCACCCAGAGCTTGTCAGAGCATGTTACTCAGGACGGCATCGAGGAGGTTCTTGAAAATCTCCAGAGAAGGGGACTCCACACCCTCCCTGGGCAGCCTGTTCCAGGGCTCTGCCACCCTCACTGTGAAGAAGTTTTTCCTCATATTCAAGTGGAGGCCTTTATGTTCCAACTTGTGCCCATTGCCCCTTGTCCTCTCACTGGGAACTGCTGAAAAGAGTCTGGTTCCCTCTTTCCTCAGCCCGCCCTTGAGATACTTAGATGCATCTTCAGTAAAAAAAAAAAAAAAAAAAAAAAAAAAGATATGTATATATTTAATCTTTCTGCCTTAGGGCTACTATCCATCAAACAAACCTGGAGTGGAACCTAAAAGGCCCTGTCGTCCCATCAACCTCACCCATTTCATGTACTTGTCTGCAGCGACCAATCGCATCACCGTTACCTGGGGGAATTATGGGAAGGTACGTGCCAAAATCGCACAGAACCACGCAAACGAGCCCAAACGAGCAGCCTCACTCATTCCTTCCTTCCTTCCCTTCCTTCTCTCCCTAGAGCTATTCCGTGGGGCTGTACTTGGTGAGGCAGATGACCTCGGCAGAGCTGCTCCAGAGGTTGAAAACCATCGGGGTCAAACATCCCGAACTTTGCAAAGCACTTGGTGAGTACTTGGCTGCATCCCAGGTGGCGCGGGGAGATCTGCTGTGTGCCCACCTGCCAAGTTTCATACAATTTCTTTCCTCCAGTTGTATCAAAACACTTTTTTTTTAATGTGAGCAGACTTGCTAAGCTGTTATATCAGTCGTGGGAAGTTGCCCCCCGCCCTGTAACCTGTGTGCACGTGCAGCACTTCTGCAGCATGCCTTTCTCTTGGCTCTGCAGAAGCTCTGCACAGCTTTAGGTGGATTTAGAATTTGTCCCCCAGGTCGTATCGTGCCGCTGAGGGCTGCTGTCGTGGTGGCATGTGTGGCTTCATGCCTTCACCTGAGTAATTATGAGCTGACGAACGTTACCGGCAGCACCTCGGCCTTCACCCGCTCTATTTCCAAACGAGGTTTCTGAAGCAAGTGATGATGATTCTATGATTTCCAAACGAGGTTTCTGAAGCAAGTGATCCTGGTGAAAATGTCCTGCTGCCCCAACTCCCCCCTCCCCAGGAATCCTGGGGGCTGGCAGTGGGATTTCACCACCAGCACTTTCATATGCGGTGAGAGCTTCAGAGAAGAGATGATCCCGAGAGATGCTTATCCTAGACTGCTCAGGTAAATCATCGTGGTATGAGGCAAATGCAAAACATTATTGAAAATGAGGGGAAATGACCTTTCCAAGGTAGAATCTGACTTGCAGCTCCTGAGAGCCTGGAGGATTTTCAGTTACTTAATGTTCCTGGAGAGAGCATTCTTACTATTTATTTCTGCATGGGAGGCCTAACGCCGTGGATCGTGATGATCTTTAAAACACACTCCTGAGATCATGGACAATTCTTACAAGTATAAGAAGCATAATCTTGAAGGCAGGTGGTAGTTCAGAAGGGAGGTGATGATTTCAGGCATGTCCAGTCTTCAGATGCCTAGTGCACGTTGTGGGACACGCTGCTGCTTCAGCCAAGCTTTGCATCTTCATCTTAAGTGCAGTGTTTCTGCAGCAGATGCTGAATGTTTCCTGTAGCTGTGTGCACACCAGATAATGTCCATGGCAGTCTTGATCATATTGGACCACTCTCACAGCCAGCACTTACCTATTGACATTAAAAATTACAATTTCCCTTTGTTAAATAGCCACCATTTTCCGAAGCCCAAGGCGCTGGTTGTGCTGCTTTTTTGACGTTCACCAGAACCTGAAATGAATTGAGCAGAGAGTGCCCTTGAGTTGTCCTAAACTGCAGAGGACCCTCTCATTCTTCTCAGCCCCTTCACACCTCTTGAAACCTGGCTCAGCAGTAGGTGCTGTTCCCTTCAAAGTGAGCACTTGTAGGGTGGCCTCTCGAGCCAGGAGTTGCAGGCAGAGGTTCTTGTCATGGTTTGGGCAGTTCTGAAAGCAGCTTTCTTGCATTTTCCACTCCATAACAAACACATGCCCGTGGTTCTACCAACTTAGATAACTAACAGCTTTGGCTGGACTTCGGGACGGAGACGAGTTACATTTAGTGGCCTTAAATTTAACCAAATAGGAACTTTTTCTTGTTTCAGTTGCTTTGGCCTGTTATTGCTTGGGGGTTGGTTGGATGTCTGAACCTGGCACGCACCAGCAGCTTGTAAACTTGGCTTTTGTAGCTCTGGTCTGTGCTGCAAATGGTTCTGTGTCAACATTTGTGGCAATATCCCTCAGTGCTCACTGAACCTACTCTCTGGTCGCATTTTGGGGCTGACTCATCTTCCTTTGCATATGCTTCTCTTGACTTGAGTATAGGAAACTTGTCTGAAAACCGAGATGCTTACACACACAGCCGTGGATCCAAAAGCCATCTTAAGACAGCTTGATTCTAATCAGGAGCTCCTAGAAAATACCCATTTCTCCTTCCTGTGAATTATAGTAATTGATGCACGGAGAATGCTCTTATAAAGAACTTTTACGAAAAATTAAGCTTGGATGAAAAGTCTCCTGATGTGAAGAAAACAACCCCAACAACACTCTCGTGGGAATTTCACATCTGAGAAGTCACTCTCTAATTAGAGCTGTGTGTTGCAAAACGGCGTGTAGCCTCGTTGTCTGGAGACGTCTTGTTATGATCCCAAAAGGTCAAAATAAATGGTTGACTTGCTCCAAAGAAAAATGGTGATGGAAGTGTCAAAGGACTTTTCAGGCAGCAGTGATAAGCAACAGCTACTCTGTAGGACTTGTGCAGTACTTTCAAGCTAATTTTCTATGCTGATTCCACACCTTGATGTGGGACCTACACGTGTGGGACCTGTGCATCCGCTGCTCTTTTTGATTTGTCTGCAGCTCCTCTGGGTTTTCCTTTCAGGATGCAGCAGCGGGGGCAGGATTTTCTACCTCATTTCCTAATGCTTGATTCTTTCCAACTCCACGCTGGATTGCTGCTGGTGACTCTTTGTGCCTGGCTGTCCTGCTCTTTGAGCTCTCTGCCTGGAAACCTCTGGGTCTGGTTGGGGTTCCTGGGAAAGGGTGCTGGAATAAATGAGCTGGCCGGCGTAGAAGCTGCAGAGTTACAGCCCAGTGGCTCTGAGAGGAGTCTTGTTTATTTGATAGAATGTGTTTTCCTGTCTGTTTGAGGGTATCCCCTGTTTGCTCACTTCTGGGGAGACTTTCTCTGAATTTCAAGGGGTGGGGGGAGGTGGTTGACCTTGTCCTCTTGCCACTGGTCTCAGAAAGGAATGAAATCCATCACGGTTATGCCAGTTGACCGGATAAGCCTAAATTGACTGCATTCCAGAAGTCTTGCCACGTGCTGGAGCTCTCTCTGGCCACTCTTTCCCTCCCTGTGGGAAGTCCAGGTGTCTCAGTTCCCTCAAAGGCAGACAAAGTTAACACCCAGTCAGTAATATTACACCAGCCTTGGTGTAATATTAACATGAAAAAGCTGGTCAGCAGCGTGATTTCCTCTATGTACCCCAGCTGCCCAGCCTGTGGTTTGTAAATAAGAGGTGGAAGTGTTGCTAAGAGAGTATTAATGTCATAGCTAGAAGATAACATGCAGCTGGTTGTCCTCATCCCAACAATGAAGTCCACTCAGTCTCCTTTGTTTGCTCTGCCAGGATGAGAACCAGCACATGCTGTTTGTCTGGGAGACCTGGGTCATTGGGAGAGGGGGATCTGTAAGAAAATGTGGGCTTCCTCAGCCAATAAATACTCCAGCTGGGCTGTAGACCATGAGCTGCCTCCTCATGCAGAAGGTCTCCACTGAGTTCTGCAGGTTGGGCATGCAGCAGAAGGTCTCCACTGAGTTCTGCAGGTTGGCCATGCCTGGTCCAATCCAACAGCTTTCTGCCTCTGGTGTCCTCTGTCCCTGACTGGCAGAGATTGTCACCAGTGGGGAAAATGACCCATATGCAGCCACGGGCTGTGGGTGAGCTGCTTGACCTGTGCCTACACGTTGTTTCCAAAGTTGTAAGTTTGCATCTGTTAAATTCTGTGCTCTCTACTCTTACTGCAGTAAAAGAAAAGCTACGCTTGGATCCTGACAGTGAAATTGCCACTACAGGGGTTCGTGTCTCTCTTATCTGTCCGGTAAGTCTTTGCGATATGTTTTAGTCTGGTTTTGTCAAGAAACCCTATTCTGCTGCCAGCCCAGCTTTGCAAGCTAACCAACCTTTTTGCTTAGGAAAGCTAACGAACCTTTTTTTTTTTGCTTAGAACTGCCTGGTGGTTGCTTGGGTGGGTTTTATCAGCTGATCTTCTGCTCTTTGGTTCAACAGCTTGTGAAGATGCGACTGTCTGTCCCGTGCCGGGCGGAAACCTGTGCACACCTGCAGTGCTTTGATGCAGTCTTCTACCTACAGATGAATGAGAAAAAGCCCACATGGATGTGCCCTGTATGTGACAAACCAGCTCCCTACGACCAGCTAATAATCGATGGGTGAGTACATGGACCTCTCCATCCTCAACTCCTTTCTTTTCTCCGCTGGGTGCAGCCTCTTGTCCTTTGGTCTCTGCATCTGATGGAAGTTTGCCTCGAAACAAAGTCAGAAGCTTACTCTGCTGCTGCATAATATTCTGACTTAATTGTCTTGGTGTGTTAGAGCAAGGCTTGATTGTTTGTCTGCCCTTCTTAATTTTTTTTTTGGATTACACTCAAGTGGTTTGGAATCAAGCATTTACTGCCTCACTCTTTTCATCAGGCTGATGAACCTGCACAACCAGCTGCCTCGTTTGACCGGTATCGTGCTGCGGGGAATAAACCACTTTGTATGCACCCGATAAGGTGATTTTTGATAGGCAACATCTTCCTGTTTTCTTGTCGGTGAAGTCCTCATCAGCTCACAAGCAATTCTTGGTATGCTTTAAATGTGACTGGGGGATCTTCTCTGCCAGCTGTTAAACCCAACATCATGCAACATATACCCCCCAAGCAGTATATGGAAAGAGTTTTTGTACAGTCTGTGTGACTGTTCTGTAGAATCACAGACTGGTTTGGGTTGGAAGGGACCTTAAAGCCCCCCCAGTGCCACCCCCTGCCCTGGGCAGGGACACCTCCCACCACACCACGTTGCTCCAAGCCCCCTCCAACCTGCCCTTGAACCCCTCCAGGGATGGGGCAGCCACAGCTTCTCTGGGCAACCTGGGCCAGGCTCTCCCCACCCTCACACCAAACAAGTTCTTCCCCACAGCTCAGCTCCATCTCCCCTCTTGCAGGGTCCAACCCTTCCCCCTCCTCCTAGGGCTCCCCTCCCTCAGCCAGAGTCCCTCCCCAGCTTTCCTGGAGCCCCTTGAGGGACTGGAAGGGGCTCTAAGGTCTCCCTGGAGCCTTCTCTTCTCCAGGCTGAACCCCCCCAACTCTCTCAGCCCCCCCTCCCAGCAGAGGGGCTCCAGCCCTCCCAGCATCTCCGTGGCTCCTCTGGCCCCACTTCAACAGCTCCGTGTCCTTCCAATCCCAGTACAATTCCTGTGGCCGTTGTAATATGTTGGTGTCAGGGATGGGAAAGATGCCTCAGTAGGAACTCCTTCTGTGTTTTGCATGCCTATAGGGGAAAAAAGCAGGAGGTTCAAATCCACTGGAGGAACAGGATTAAAATGATTTGGAAACACCCTCCAGATTGGATGTTTTGTGGGTCTCCTGGGCTTCCCACCATGGTTCCTCTGAGGACACCCAGTGGTGGTTGATCCCTGTTAGCAGGCTGAGCCTGTGCAGCAGGACCTTAGGGTGCTAACGGGGGGCCCGGGGGTTCCCTGCTGGGGGTCTCCAGCCCTTGTGGTGTGGGAGGGGACACCAGTGTGTTTGTCAGGCAACTGGAGTATGCTGGTAGGGAACCAGCATTTGGTACAGCACTTCTAGACTGAGTTTGTGAAGAGCAGGTCATGAGTCATGAGGTCCAGTTGCCATCCTAGGGCTGCTGCCTCCCCCGTAGTGGGTCAGAAGGACAGACCCCCACCAGCATCCCCAACATCCCAGCGAGGCAGCCCCTGTCTCTTCTGCACGAGGGATGTTCTCTTTCTCCTATCTCATTTTGAACGTGGCACGGTTGGAGTAGTGCTGGAAAAGCACGGGAGGGAATTCCAGTAAATTCCAAACAGCATTTGGAAAAGGGTGAGGCAAGAAATGCATGTCCTAAGCCCTGAGTTCTTAGGCCATGAATTGGGGAAAGGTTGCTTTAGACTTAGAGTGAACTTGGTTTTCAGTCCATGTGGGAATGGTGTTTCCTGTCTATCTGGACTAGAGTTGGTTTGCTCTGTCTCTTTCCCAAGGAGGACTCGTCGTAAGTGGGGAGAGCTGGAGCGCTACAGTTCAGCAGTGGAGGTGATGCTTGTTTGTCTGAGTGAGGTTTGATACTTAAAATATGGATTTTATACAGGATTTGACGCTTCAAAACGCAGCTGTGTGCCAAGAGGATTACTCTAAAAACCAGGAGATCTCCCTTTCCTTGTTGCAGCCTGTATGCAAACTGCAAGAAGGAGCTGGGCTCTCAGCAGGGGCCACCTGAGGCAAACCGGGAAGCTGGAGCTGCTGCTTGTCAGCTCCAGAAATACAAATTCCAGAGTTTATCTCTAGAGAAGAGCGCAATAAATTGCCTGGCTTATTTCCAGGAGTAAAGGAAGGAACGAGTGAATTAATGGGAACGATAATTTCCACCCACAGCCCCAGAAGAAGCTTCGTTGTCCTCAAAATCCAAGGAGCCTGTTTTATGGGCTGGGACCACTGACATCTGTAGTGGTGCTGGCCAAGCTGAGAGCAACCCTGAGGACTGGTGGAGGAAGATGCATGGTTCTTGGCTCCTGGAAAACGATCTCCACCCTTACGGCTTGTATAATTGGCCTCTAATGCAGATTCCCTCAAAAGTAGGGAGAGTTTAGAGCTAAATTGTTCAGGTGCATCCAGCTCCCTTGGCACACGAGGCAGTGAAGTGAGCAGACGAGTCTCCTCCTGGGTGGTACATTCCCAGGGCCAGGCTGATCATGTTCTGAGCTTTGCTGCACTGGTAGGTACTGATTTGATCCAGGACTTGTGGCTTTTTTAGACGGTCTGGAAGCAGCCTAGGCACAGATAACCTGTTTGCTTTGTCCTCTGGCCAACACCAACAGGAAAATCCAGTTCCTTTGAGATCTCTAACGAGGCTGCTGAGACTGAAGGGGTTGGATCGTGGAACCTCCACAGGTCAGCAATGCAGTGTCCCTCCTACATGAGGAGGAGGGGGAGATCATCACTGATGAAGGCTCCACGGATTTCTTCGTCCCTGCTCTGTGGTGCCCAAGAGTGGCTTTTGGTGCCAGTTCAGTTGGATGAAGGTGGTGCTCAGACCTCCCTGGAGGGGACCTGTCTGTCACAGCTGGATGTTGTTAGCCAAAAAAAGGGGCGTAGGCTCCGGAGGAGGGAGCTGGTTGGTTGAGTCTAAGATCCTCTGGGCCTTGTCAGCTTTTTTGGAATTGCAGCCTTGGTGGTTGCTCTGCTGGATGACAGGAGTGTGTCTGTGGAAACACATTTCCTACGTGAGCAGGGAGAAAGCAGAAACTTTCTCCTGTTAATGAGCCATGAATAGTTTTCTGGAGCTTGTAAGATTTTTGCTATTAGCTCTCCTTTGTACTCAAGGGAAATGCTCAATCCCAGAAGTAAGGCCTTGCAGAACAGTGGTTCCAACTGTGTGTCCAAATAAACATCCCAGACGAACGGTGGGATGTAGCAGGATAAAGCAAATACTCAATTTCTGAGGCACAATGAGCCAGATTAAGGGCTCTGGCTGGTGTCTCTGCAATGAGGGACGGTTGACACCGAGGTATCTGCACTGTGGGTGTATTCACACTGGTGAACGTGGGGTTTTTCTGTTGCAGGAGGCTGTGTATATTGTTTTGGTGGCTGCTGTGGAAGGTTTGGGAAAGAAAAATAGGAAGGAAGTGAAGTGCTGCTTGTTGGATTGCTGATTTCCTAATGTCACAGGGTATTTTGTCTTTGGCTTGTGCCTTGCTGTGGATGGACCTGCACCAACCCTGACACAGCTCTAGATGGGGCATCAGACGTCTGTCTGGAAGCGGTTCCACAGACTTGGGAAACTGGGTGAAGAGGCAAGGCTGTCTTCTAATTGCATGTAATTAAAATGTTAGTTCATGGTTTAGGTGCGTTGTCAGGAAGGACGGGGATCGTTTGCACTGTCAGAACCTGTACTTGTTTTATGGGAAATAAAACAAGCTCTTGTCTGTTTGGCAGCCAGCTAACACCAAAGTTCTTTCAATTTTAGGGCTCTTTAAGGTGAAGATCCAGGTTGATGGCCCATTACTAAATGTGTTCTGCTGATTGCCTTGACCTTAATAGGTGGCATCTTGTCTCCTGTCCAGGCTCCTCTCAAAGATCCTGACAGAATGCGAAGATGCCGATGAAATCGAGTTCCTGGTGGATGGCTCCTGGTGTCCCATCAGGGCGGAGAAGGAGCGGAGCTGCAGCCCTCAGTGTCCCATATTAGTTCTCGGTGAGTATCTCTGGGGCTAAAGACTTTAAATTGCTGTGGTAAATGCACAGGCATTGCAAAAGTAGAGTTCCCCAACTGGCTTGGGAAAAGCTGTGTGATGCCTTGAAGTACCAGAATGGCATCGAACACGTTTGTGAGTAGATGCATCTCTGTGACGACCCCTGAAATGTCAGCAGAAAGACCAGCTGAGAACAGCACTGGACATTTTTTTTTAAGGGAAAAGAGGATTTTGAACAGAAGGGCTGTCTGTTGGACAGCCTGCGTGAGGTCAAGTCCCTCTGGCAGTGGTGCTGGCAAGGCTGGCAGCGTAGTTGTGTGGCTTCTTGCTTTGGCCAAGCCAATTCCCTGTTCTCGGGCAGATGTTCTTTGGGTGCTGTGGCAAGTCCTGACCCTGGAGAGAGCCTCAGGTTTGTGGCATCACAGAATCAGGGAATGGTTGGGGTTGGAAGGGAACTCTGGAGTCATCTCCTTCAACCCCCTGCCAGAGCAGGGTCAACCAGAGTAGGTTGGACAGGATCATGTCCAAGCAGGTTTTGAATATCTCCAGAGGAGGAGACTCCACCACCTCTCTGGGCAGCCTCTTCCAGGTCTCTGCCACCCTCACAGGAAAGAAGTTTTTCCTCATGTTGAGATGGAATTTCCCATGTTCCAGTTTGTGCCCATTACCTCTTGTCCTGTCCCTGGGCACCACTAGAAGAGTCTGGCCCCATCCTCTTGCCACCTGCTCTTCAGTTTTTGCTCAGCATTGATGAGATCCCCTCTCAGTCTACTCTTCTCCAGCTGAACAGCCCCAGGGCTCTCAGTCTTTCCTCAGCAGCGAGATCCTCCAGTCCCTCCTCATCCTCGTTAGCCTCCGCTGTCCCCTCTCCAGTAGTCCCCTGTCCTTCTTGAACTGGGGAGCCCAGAACTGGACCCAGTGCTCCAGATGCAGCCTCTCTGGGGCAGAGCAGAGGGGGAGGATGACCCCTCCACCTGCTGGCCACGCTCTTCTTGATGCTCCCTAGAAGACCATTTCCCTTCTTGGCCACAAGAAGGCACATTGCTGGCTCGTGGGCAACTTATTGTCCCCAAGGACTCCCAGGTCCCTCTCTGCAGAGCTGCTCTCCATCAAGTGAACCCCTTAATCTGTCCTGGTGCAGGGGGTTATTCCTCCCGAGGTGCAGCACCCTACACTTGCCCTTGTTGAACTTCATGAGGTTCCTCTCTGCCCAACTCTCCACCCTGTCCAGGTCTCACTGGATGGTGGCACAGCCTCTGGTCTGTCCCACTCCTCCCAGCTGTGTGGCACCAGTAAACGGGTTGGGAGTGCACATTGTCCCCTCATCCAGCTCGTTGGTGAATGGGTTGGTTTTTTAGGTGGCTTCTTGAAAGGCCTTTGTTTCATTCACCCCTTTGCCGAGCACCTCAGCCATGAGAGACCCCTAAAGGAGCCGTAGGGTTGGAATCGCACTGTTCTAGCTGGGAGCTCCAGCAGCTCCACACCTCATGTAAAGAGACACGTTTGGGAATCTTTTAACCCTAACCCGAAAAAGTTTAACGTAGAAAATTGTGCGTAGTGACTCGTTTTTAGTTGAGCAGAAGCCATGGGGAAAGGGCGGGGGAGGGCTCGAACCACACAAAATCTCGTTGTATTTTTTGAAGTGCAATAACTTGGTGTTTTTGAAGACTTAAAGAGAGAGAAAAGTGAGAGAAAACAAAAAAAAAATGAACCCCTTAATCTGTCCTGGTGCAGGGGGTTATTCCTCCCGAGGTGCAGCACCCTACACTTGCCCTTGGTGAACTTCATGAGGTTCCTCTCTGCCCAACTCTCCACCCTGTCCAGGTCTCACTGGATGGTGGCACAGCCTCTGGTGTGTCACCCACTGTGTGGCACCAGTAAACGGGTTGGGAGTGCACTTTGTCCCCTCATCCAGGTCGTTGGTGAATGGGTTGGTTTTTGAGGTGGCTTCTTGAATGGCCTTTGTTTCATTCACCCCTTTGCCGAGCACCTCAGCCATGAGAGACCCCTAAAGTGGGCATGAAGTGTCTTAATTAATCCTCTCTCTCTCTTCCCCCACCTCCCTCAGGTTCCTCAGATGTGAACGGGCTCCTGCCCACTCCCAACGGCAACAACGGGGAGAACGGCAAGGCCACAGCCGACGTGGTGGATCTAACGTTGGACAGCTCATCGTCGGAGGAAGAGGAGGAGGAGGACGAGGAAGAAGACGATGATGACGAGGGACCCCAACCAAAACGACGCTGCTCTTACGAGAAAGGTTTAGTTTCTGCCTGCTGACTGTGAAAGCAGCTCTGGGGCTCAGAATGGACAGACTTGAATACTCTGGTGCTTATTAAACTGGAGGAGGGGGGAGAACGTCCTCTCCCACCTCATCTCCCTTCCTCCCTGATCTCCTTTGACTTTCCTATTCCAAATTAAGGGCTGCGCATTCCCTTTTCTTTGTGAAGGCTCCATTTCTGGAGGCGGTGACAGTGACCTGCAGGACAGCCGGACACCTGGCACATGAGGAGGAGGAGGAGGAAGGAGGAGGAAGGAAGAGGTGGGGAGGGGGGGAATGAGGGGTGCTCGGGCCTTCGAGAAAATGCCAGGTGGGGGGAATCTCAGTTTTTAGCCAACTACCTCGGTAAACTCCAATTCAGGTTTCTTTCAGTCACGACCCGGTTGTGCGGCCCGGCCCCGGCGCTGCGGGCGGCACTTGTTGGCAGGGTGTTGGGGACAGAGCCCCCGGGGGGGGGAGGCAGTGACAGATGCTTCTCCCTTCCAGACTTTGCTCCCCAGACCCGAAGCTACTGCTATGCTCTTGGTGGCAAAAATGTTGCTTTTTTTTTTTTTTTTTTTTTTTTTTTTATCTAACGTTGGACAGCTCATCGTCGGAGGAAGAGGAGGAGGAGGACGAGGAAGAAGACGATGATGACGAGGGACCCCAACCAAAACGACGCTGCTCTTACGAGAAAGGTTTAGTTTCTGCCTGCTGACTGTGAAAGCAGCTCTGGGGCTCAGAATGGACAGACTTGAATACTCTGGTGCTTATTAAACTGGAGGAGGGGGGAGAACGTCCTCTCCCACCTCATCTCCCTTCCTCCCTGATCTCCTTTGACTTTCCTATTCCAAATTAATCATTAAAACGAGAGAGAAAAAAAAAAAGCGAGAAAAAACAAAACAAAAAAAACACAAAAAAGCAAAAACAAAATCCAAAAAAAAAAGAAACAAAAAAAACAAACCATTGAGCTGCTTCTTGGTTGGAAAACGACCCCACTCAAAAGCCTGACCCTGAACTGGAGTCGGAAGTAAGGAAAAGTGTCTTAAACCAGTTAGTTGGGACCCGCAGCTCGCTGGTCCCAGCTGCCCTTCCCCGGGACGGTGTGACCGGGTGGAGTCCACCTGCCCATCCCCAGGACATCTGACTCCCCTGCATCTCCAAAGCCCTGTGCATTTTTATCCTCTTGTTAAATAACCATTCCTTAATTAATCTAAAGGTTTTGCTGGACGTGTGAGTCCGGGGCG